CTCTCCCGTTGTTGCTTGCAAAGGCTTTGGTGTCGTCTAGAAATTGGCATGATTAGGCGCTTGAAAGAAAAGCACTATATACAAAAAGTGATTCCAAGAATTTATCGTTCGGCAGGAATCCGCTAAATTATTTATCAAATGAATCCTTGGCGGAAAAATCATGCATTTATTTGGGCCATAAATCACTGACTTGAGACACATTGTCCACGAAATGAATGGAAAGAACAGAAATATTGCTTTCGTTTTTGTAAAAAATTCGAAAACTCGAAAGGGCTGCTACGCGTTCAAAGTGCCCACGGACGTCTTTCACAAATGCTGGCGACGGGATGCGCAAACTTGGTTCTTGGAGTGCCTTCACTAGAAACTCGTTGTGGCTTTCTGCTTTATTGCATTCGCATCTTGCACTTCTACTGCATCATACTCAATCGATTGTTTGCCTCTACTCTCCAAAATCGATCACTTTACGGATCCCGTCATTGCGTCGCCTGATACGTAGCCGGCTAAAGGCCAACTTCTTCCCATGTCTCGTTTGGCACCGCCCGAATTACTTCGATGTCCATAACGTGTGGTTTCTGGACGTTTGCTTCTCTTCGGAAACCGAATCTTCATGTGTGAAACTTTCCGTGCTGTTTTCAGTGTTCACAACTGACACATCCGTGTCAAGAAACAATGCAAGAATTTTCCGCGAAGGATTCCTTCAATAAATTCGTTCTCTTAATGTGGAACCTTGATTTGTCTGTTAAAATAAAGCTTTTTCGATGTATAAAGAAACGTTGTGGAATGAAGTGCACTTCCGGAATTTCTTCTTCGTAATGGAATGAAAATATTCGGGAACGTTTTGGATAGATTAGAAATACTTACTTGTGCGCCTAAGAAAAAAAAAACAAAACTCAGTAGTTGTGTTACCTTTCTGGTCGAGGTAGTACGAGTTGTTCTGAATGGTTTAATAGTGATAGTGCTAGACTGAGTGCTAGTGGGTAACCTCTCGGCTGCAGTTGTCACGTCAGTTCTTCGGTTTGCAACGACCACAGCTGGCGTCATTCTTGTCGTTCGCTCTCTAGACGTGCTTTGTTCGTTGCTAGTGTGAATTAGAGGTGAATGTGTGAAGCGTAGTGGTGATGTGGTCGTACTGATAGCAGATTGGTGCTCATTGCGGGTTAGGGTACCGGGTGCATAAGTTAGGCTTGTGCTTGCCGTCGCTCCACGTACTGTAGTTAGCCTGTGATGCTTCCATACTTGCGCAGCACGAGTGGAAGTAGGGACGTCGACTTCCTGAGCATCGGCGTCAACATCCAGTTCGACATCTGGACGAGTTTTCACTGAAACATCATCAAATATCATATCACACACAGAGGGCAAAAAACATTCACAGTTTTTATTTTTGGCTACAACTCCAGTCAGCTTCAATAGATTTGCTTAAATTTAACATGTTGTCAGAGCAACAATTCCTTACTGAGATAGCATAAATGCGTTAAATGGGAGCAGGAATTGAGATAGGAAAATTGTTGTTGAATTTTTTTCAGGAGGACATTCTTCTAATTTCAATTTGTTGGTAAAAGCTTGTGATTGAACGGAGCAGCAACTGCGCGACAGCCAATATTGAAGGCAGCATGTCGGGCAGTTTCTGGAGGAATTTGGAGGAAATATGGGGGTGGTTAAGGTACGCCAATGCGAAGAAGCAGAGCAATCCTTCAAAGATCCACAAAAGAAAATCTTCTTGTTTGGCCGTTGGTTTTGCAGGACGAACACGGCTGAGACGGCAGACGCGTCAACGCGTTTGGTGACACTATGCCAATCCATGCTCCGGTTGAGTTGGTCCAATGTGCTGCTGCTGGCAACATGGCTCACCCAAATCACCAACTAAACTATTAAGCTGTCCCATAAGTTCGTGCCACTTTTTTGCACCCCATGGAAGAACTTAATATAGCGATTTTCGAAGATGAACAAGTAGGCTACGGAGAATCCACCTCAAGAATTAAAGCGAGAGATCACAACAAAGTGCGTGCAAGCATGGAAGTACATGCACCAGTGGAGGCAGTAGTACGGATCTAAGGAAGCGAGGTAAAGCCTTTTCGGCCAAAAGCGCGCTAGTTAAACGCTCTGGGGCTGCCATTCCTTCCTGAGCTCCGCCCATCAGTGTGTAGCTAGCAGCACCCCTGTTATTATCATTTGGATGAGATAATCCACTCGAAAGTGCGTATCCTATGGCTTTCCCATGAAATGCGTTGTCAATCAAAGCGTGGTCCTCGCTGGAATGCTACCGGCTGTCGCTTTAACATGTGCAAACGACTTGTTAATGTTTGCAGCTCATCCATTACCGAGTTCAGCGGGCAAGGAAAGGGGTCCCATTTTGCGCGTTTCTTACGGTTTCTTCGCTTTTTTTCGCCACTATTGCATTAATCAGCACTCCCACTTTCACTATGAACTCAACCCTACCTTATCATAATCCCTCGCTGTGACCTATACCCTGATCACGTTTGCCTCGGTGCTCTCTTTAAACTCAAAATTGGAGTAGTAGAGTAAGGGTAAAGGGAGCTTACGAATAGTGCACTCATCTTTTACGCAGGGGCATCTTACGCTAGTTTAGTGTTGCAGCTTATTTTACCCAATTTCTTGGCAACTTTAATTGCACATAACACTCTTGGCAACTTTAGGTCTTCATATTAGTGGCTAGTATTCATAACCCAATCAATAACCAATCAATCAACCTTAGCCTCCATCCAAAATTCGGTGGAATTTAAAAGCACTTCCTGGTGAGTATCGATCTCAAGTGTGACAAATGCTCCAACTATCGTTGGCGGAAGTCATAATCTCGATCTCGTAACTCAATCATCGACCAGATATTAAGGATCGATCTCTACGCTGGAGACCATATTCACAAGCCTGTCGATTTATCTTATTCATTTCTGTTGCTTGTTTCAATAGTGTTGCTATGGAATAAAATTTGTTTATTTCACCGTGATTTGTGTCAACACCAAACTATCCATCGGATTCGGTCTAACATATGGAATTACCATCCGGCCTACATTTAAAATTTGCGTTGAGAAAATTCGAGCGAATTGATTGCTCCTATCTTCAATGTTCCTCTCGTCACCGAATCTTTGCACACTGAAGACCGTTACCTCCACAATGTATCAAAATTTGGAACAGATCCACCATAGATGATTAAATTGTAGTCCAGAAACGGAAAACGCAATGCCTTTCCCTGGCAGAACAATGAAGCATATATCATAATACTATTAACGGCGTGGCCATTCGCGGTTTCTGTACACCACCATTGTCATTGACCCCCGCACGATATCCTCCTCCGGACAATTGCGCACGCCCACACTCCCAAAAGGTCTAGTGTGCGATAAAACGAGGGAAAAATTAGAGTTGGCCTGCAACGATGTTAGGTCGACACCACGAATCATAATGATCTTCTTGTACCTGCCCGAACGCCACAATTTTTTCGAGAATTGTCAGCCATTCCTTCGAATACACTCATTTTGCAGAGAGGTTCCTACCCACCGCACAACACAACCACATTACCTTACTCGAAACTGCTCATGCCACGCTTGCTATGAGTTCGGCATATCGTACATCCATCATACCTCTTCTTGTCCATCCTCTCTTACTAAGAACCTATAAAAATCCGTGAGTAATTCGTGCTTCCGCGGTCCATCTACCCCCCTTCGCCTGAATCAAGAGAGTTAATAACAACAAGTGACCTTAGTTCAAACAACTCGTGAAATTAATGATCTGGAAACAGATTCGGCCAAAGCAATGTTCCAAAGAAGGCAGGTTCATAGGCATCCAAACAAAATGTCTTAACCAAGCAATAGAAACTGTTGCGACCTGTACCTACATCAACCCGATTCAGATTCTGAAAACAGAATATATTTTACAAATATGATCCGCACCATAACTTTTCTGATACAAAAGGAGAAAATTTCCATGAACAAAATAGTTCGCCTGATTAGACGAAATCTTTTGCCTGAAGCTCAATTGTAGTTTCTACACCACTAGAAACCACTGAATGGTGTCAAGCTCCATGTACACAAAAAGCCGCGGGGCGAAGCCTTATCACGCACCCCTGAGAATCGACTCCCCAGGGTCCAAACCCTTATGGTAGCACTAAACATATCAGGGGCCGGGCGGAGCCAATAAAAAAAAAGACACTTTTGCATCCACTTTCAGATATGGATTTAAGATCACTTTGCATCAATTGAGAACGAGTGTCTCCCAAACTTAATATTGAAGCAGCAATCATTTCCATTCTATATCAGAAAATCTCCCCATGTTTGGCCACCCCAACGTTGGACCGGCAACAGAAAAATTTGCCCCTGGAAACATGGTGCACCTGTCGAAGCTCAACGAGCTTCAAAAGGATCTGTACCATAACGCCCTTTACTCGAAAGCCATCTGTTTCGAGGAGGATTTATAGTGGGACTACAGCCTCTAGAAAAGCATCTCACCATACAAATCCGATTCACCGACAAACTGCGTAGAGACTTGCAGGCTGAAGCACTTACAAGTAAGACCCTCACTTAAGCCTACATCTGACCTGAACAGATGACGTCAATAATTCTGAAGACGTCCCGGTAAGGGCAGTGAAAGGAGCCTGCGTTCACTATAACGGACACTTAGAAACCTCTGTTGAGGAACTCGCCCCCTCAACGCCGGCAACTCTGCGAAAAACAAAGGCCGACGTCCCGACATATGCAAAAATGCGTCTTTTTTTTGGCCCCCCCTCGTATATAGCGCTAAGTCTTTGCCTGTCTGCTCCGTCTGTCACGAAAACTTCGGTGCATAAAGGTAAAGCGAAACATAAAAACCCTACCACCGACCGCATCCACCGGCAAAGTTTGCGATGGATGACACCAAGGGGCCAATATCTCGCAACGCACTATACAAATTACAATCAGCTAAAGCGAGCTCCGCCCCGCAGTGAGCGTAGCAGCGTATCAATCGCATGAGCGAACATGGGGCGACCAATACGAATTCGACACATCCCAACCACCTACACCAAACACAACCGCATCGAAACTAAAAGGATAAATTGGTATGTAAGCTGTGCGTTGTAAGGCCAGAGAAAACGAACCTCACCCTTCGGCTGAACGGCGTTCTCTGAAAAACGCGGCGCTCAGTGAAAATTTCATAACTCGTTAGTAGAAGGCCTACAGAGCAGAAAAAAGCATAGGTAGAGAAGGGTAGTACTCCAGCAGACATAAAAGACGTGGAGCCCGCCACCGCGCGGCCTGCAACTCGAGCACCACTGGAAACCCACTTTCCTACACAAAGCTCAATATCGCCTGCGAGATGACTTAGAAGAACGCAAAGCAGTGAAAAATTATACCAAGTTGGGGACTCGGCAGTGCACGGCACCGCAAATGTCGAGCGGATTGCTGCCAGCTTATAACATCGGTCCTTGAATCCCGGTGAATGGAAAAACGCGAATAAGTTAAGGGAAGGGTCAACCCCTGTTGGCAGGTGAGACATAGTGTTAAAGTGCGGCGCGGCGGGTTAGCCACAAGATACATACTCAGCTTGTGCTTCCTATAAAACCTCATAATTGGACCTCCGATATAACCTAAGAGACCAAAAAAAAAAACTTGCAAAATAAAAATTAGAGAAAGGGGCGAGGTTATACAAATTAAAGGCATTGCACACGCCCGAAACTAGGCGGGCGTTATGCCTATAACTCTTGCAACTCGTTCCAAGACAGTCCCAGCGACGGAAAAAAATTGTGGATAATTTTGATGTATGAACTGGGGTTACACAAAACAAATTGGTGCCTCTCACTCATGCACCAGTGGCGGTATTTCCAACCAATATTCGTGACTGTCTACATGCCACTCATAATATTGTTTCAAGAAGTCTAAATAATGAGAAAAACAACGTCGACAAAGATCAAGAGGGAGTAAGGTGTTAATGTAGAACCGCCGCACAACGAAGACAAAGATTGCGACCAGGTTGACACCTAGCAAACATATCACCCCCTCCGAAGAATCCGGACAACCGCTAACGAAACTTGACGAGGTTAGGAAAGAAAAAGTCAAATGCTGATGTTAGTTGGGGCGGACATGCACAAAACGGGCCGATTAACTCTACGATAGCATCATAATGTGTTCTAAATACTAAGAGTGGAAAAAGGTGATAGATTCAGCAAAGGAAGAGTCATGTACACGTTGTACCGGTGGTCGTAGCGCGCACAAAGAGGCAAGGATTCTGCTAGCACATATCCACTTTGAAGAACCCGGATACCCGAGAAAAGTTGAATCGTCGCTTACAAAAGAAATTAGCGTCAGGTCTATGGCTCGTTACATCCCCACAACGCCAGCATCTCCCGCAAACGAATC